TCCATGCAATAAAATATGGCGCATGCTAATTTTTGAATAACTTTTGAGTTTTTAATGAAAGGGAAGAACATATAGTAACAGTAATAAGATAGACTAGCTCAAGAAAGACTGTGAAGTAACAAGAGTAAAATGCAAAACTTTGTGCAGAACACCGGGTAAGTTTTGTTTGCTAATTCGTGATTTCTGTATTTTTCTGAATTTTACATGGTGACCATGTATATTTGCTATGGAAAAGAATATTACACAAATACAGATTTTTACAAAAGTCAGACATCATATTTTGGGGAGGCCTTTTTAGACGCTTCGCTACCACTTTCCAAAACACGTGCCCCCTGGGCCCATCTCCGGGCCTGTCCTGCAGTCGGTACTGTTACTGAACGTTTCCTCTCTTGCTGGACACTCCAGCCGGGCAAGAGCTGGGAACAGGGAGAAAAGCTCCGGTGGAGGGAAGGAAGGTGCCCTGTGAAGAACGCCGAAGGCCTTCTTGAACCCCTCAAATCCTGGTGAGCCCTGAAGCTTCTCTCAGGAACTTAACACCCCCCGACGTCGCTGCACCCGCCTCCCGCATGGCTGCGGAAGGGCAGGCTGCGGCCGGAGCCCGAGGCTCTTTCCGCTGGAAGAAGAGCGAGGCAGGCAGCCTGTGGGGCACAGGGTGGCTTCCCCGATGAACAGCTGCCACCAGCTCACTCTCCTCCAGACTCCGAGCCCTGAGTCCTGAGCTTTGGATAATCGTGGGCTTGTTTCTTCAGTCCGCAATCCCATCTCTCCCGAGTGACTTGGCTCCCATACTGGCAACACTGAAGGACTTACTTCTCCTTGATTTGCTCTCTGGGCAAAATGACCGTGTGTTCCAGCTCACCTTGGATTTCCAGTTCAGGAGCTGCTTGCAAGCAGGTCCCCAGCATTCCGCCTCCTTGTGGCCAGTGCTCTCGGCCCCAACGCCCCGTGGTCTCCCGACCCTCATGCACCTCAGCACTCTCATTCTGGGGAAACACAGAACACCGAGATTGGCCACCTCCGTGTCCTGCTCCTCAGCCGCTTTGTGACCTCCCTGAGGGTCTGGCGCCTTCGGAGACCCCCACGCATGTGTCTCAGAGGGGCCAGGCCTGTGAAGGAAGCCTGGTCATCTTTGGACCAGGAGTTGGAAGACCCTGGGTCTTACCACACATCCTGTGTGACCTTGACCAAGTCTTTTTTTTTATTTATTTATTTATTTCTTTCTTCCTTCCTTCCTTCCTTCCTTCCTTCCTTCCTTCCTTCTTCCTTCCTTCCTTCCTTCCTTCCTTCTTCCTTCCTTCCTTCCTTCCTTCCTTCCTTCCTTCCTTCCTTCCTTCCTTCCTTCCTTCCTTCCTTCCTTCCTTTCTTTATTTATTTATCTTTAGAGGGGAAGGGAAGGAAAGGAGAGAGGGAAACATCAATGTATGATTGCCTCTAGTGTGTTCCCTGCTGCAAACTGGCCTGCAGGGAACTGGCTTGCAACCCAGGCATGTGCCCTGACTGGGAATTGAACTGCGATCCTGTGGTTCGCAGACCCGTGCTCAATCCACTGAGCTACACCAGTCAGGGCTTTGACCAGGTCTTTTAATTTCTCTAGGCTTTGCTACAGTAGCAAAGCAGACTGGGATCAGATAAAACCTTGGACGTGGATGTGTTGGAGGAAATCAAACGTACCAGGGCCTGTGCAAGGCCCGTGACTGCTGGGTTCCAGTCCTGTGTGCAGATGACAGAGGCTGGGAGGGTGAAAGGACGAAGTAGATGTGAAAGTGTCCCGAGTGGAGTTGTGAGCACAGGGCCAGGGAAGGGTGTGGAAGGGGAAACTCTATGTCACCCCAAGCGAGGGGAAGTGAAAGGTTTCCCCGGAGCGAGGGGGAAGGGGCACGCAGAGGCCCCCGGAGTGGCCTGAGACCGCGGTGACTTCTGCTCTCGCTTCTTGCACTCCGGAGCTGCAAAGATCCAGTCCTAAAATAGTATCCCTTACCACGAAACCACTGAGTCTGTGGGCTGAGGGGAGGGGGAGGAAGGGAATTATTAACTCATCAGGGCTGGGAATTACCTTTCAAAGAGAGTGTGAGAATGTCCAGTTCGTTCTTACCTCACTCAGCTAAATGGAGTTTGCACGCGGGGTCCATGTTACCTTCATACCCGCTTCCCTGAACACTGGTGGTTTGGCTGCCTCTGGACACTTATCAAACAAGCATTTACTGAACACCTACTGTGTACACAGAGGTGGGCATAACACACTTTCTGCATCAAGGAGCTCGCTGTCCACTGGGGGAGGCGATCGAAGAGGCGAGATGCTCCGGGTGACGTGCTGGGGACAGCCCAGGATCTGTGGGGACACAGAGGGACACGCAGCGTCCAGCGGAGAAGAGGTTGGGGAAGCTTCCCTAGAGAAGACGAGCACTTTTTTTTTTTGCTGTGTATTTGAGAGGCATTTGTTATCATTCCCCACTACCTGTTACTTAGAAACAGCCTCAGTGTGTACATCTTAGAGGGCACTGGTTTAGCTAAACATGTTGGCACAAGCCCTTTGTACTCTTGGTGTCGAACTTCACTAATGCAAACACAACATCACTGTTGGGACCTCCGTGAGCCAAAGATGAAACCAAGGCTGGGAAGCAACGGCCAGACTCTCACGATGTGGCTCCATGTGGGCTCATCACCCATTCCTGTCCGTCGTCATCCTCCTAACGCCCCAGAGCAGGGCTCTTCGAATCCTCCATGGCGGGAAGTGCGGCACAGCCCGCTCACTCAGATGGAGGTCTCCGTGTCAGGGGCTCCTCCTGGGTGCACAGTGGGCCTTAGACTTGACCTGGAGCTATCTGTCTACGGTGAGGGATGTGCTGATGTTCTGTTCCTGCCTTTATTCCACCCCATGGGATAGTTATTTCTTTTTTAAAATAAGATTTTATTTATTTATTTTTAGAGAGGAGGGAAGGGAGGGACAAAGAGAGGGAGAGAAACATCAGTGTGTGGTTGCCTCTCTCGAGCCCCCTACTGGGGACCTGCCCTGCCACCAGGCACGTGCCCTGACTGGGAATCAAACCAGCAACCTATTGGTTCGTAGGCTGGTGCTCAATCCACTGAGCCACACCAGCCAGGGCTAGAATAGTTATTTCTGTTGCTGTCAACACCATCACTGCGGGGAGGAATGGGGCTTCATTCTGTTCCGCCTTCCCTGACAAAAAGCAGACGGCTTCTGCATTGGGTTGTGCATGAACGGCATGGGTAACAGAGTCTGGTAAAGTCCAGGGAACACAGACACGTCCTTTGTCCCCTAGAGCCAGGTCCTCCTCCAGCTAGGAGAGACCGTGAGAGATGCTGGGGGGGGGGGAGGGTGGAGCAGAGAAGTACAATTTGTGTGTGTGTGGGGGGCAGTAATATGAGGTAGGATGACATTGAACTGTATTTAGTGACCCTGCAGTACCCCAAGATGCCGCTGTGCCCCCTTCAATCCCACTTCGCTACAGCACCCAGGGTGCATGGTTTCCTGTTTTCACACTTTATTTGTTTTTTCTCAGGGTAGAGGCAGGTGGCGATGGGGCCGGGGTGGGCAGGTGGGGGTGGGCAGGTAGGTGGTGGTGGGCAGGTGGAGCTGAAGGTGGACAGAGATCTCAATCTGATCATCCCAGTCGTCCTCACTGGCCCAGGCAGGTGCTCCTGTCAGCCTGGCTTTCATGGGGTTCACCGAGTCACCTTCAAGTTGGCTGCAGGTCTCAGGGCTGAGGCCTCCCACAAAGCAGCCACCAAGCCAGGCAGGGCTTTATGGGAACGTGAGGAATTCCCCGTCGGCGGCTGGGAAACAGCCATGTGTGTGGAATACATGTTTGATCCATGACACAGGCAAACTCCTTGCTGAGTCTATTTAATCCCATTTTTGTACCAGAGAGACATTCTCTATTTTCTTTTTTAATTAAAGTTGACCTTCAACATCATCGTATATTAGTTTTAGGGGCACAGCATAATGGTAGACACATAACTTACGAAGGTAAAAACGGCGAAGGGATTGAGAGGCACAAACTGGCGTTTACAGAATAGTCCCAGGGACGTAAGTGCAGCAGAGCGAATACCGTCAATAATATTGTGGCAACTGCACGTGGGGTCCGACGGGGGCTGGACCTGCTGGGGGGACCCCTTTGCAAGTTGCAGGTGAATGACGGGGAGGCCTGCTCCATCTGGGCCTTCCACACCGGATCCTCGCTGATCTCTCCCTCCTTTTCTATTACGGCTCCAAGGGAACGAACGGGAGCCTTTCTGTCTTTTCCCTGCTGCTCCCTCCTTGTTCTAGAACCGACTGACCCATCCTCTTCCTCCTCCTGAGTTCGGCCCTCGTAAGCTGGCTCTCTGTGCGTGCCCAGGCCCCTGGCGGGCAACCGCTTCTCTCCGCGTGGTCACATTGCACATTGGAGGCAACAGGGCGGAGAGAATGGATTTTAGAGTCGGGAGACTCTGGCTCCCAATCTGGGCACTGCCACTTAAGACTGTAGCCGTGAGGTTATCAGTGGGCCCCCCCATCCATGATCTTCATGCCCGCCCCCCGAACAGCAATTGCACCCCTCTAAAGGTGGTGGTGGGGTTTGGCGTCACAGTCTCGGGCAGCCAGCCCGGGGCCTGGCACACAGTAGACAATTCAGTAAGTGGATTATTGTCCTGCCGGGCTCTCCTGCACACTCAGTGCGGGACTCTTTATGCCCGAGGAAGATGCAGGGCACTAAGGTCACTCAGCCCAGCAGAGGGAGGCCCAGGAACGTGACCTCTGGTCCCAGCTCCCCCTTCCTTCTTGAGGCCGGGCCTGTGGCAACTCTGGAAACAGTGACGAGAAGCCTCCGGCTTCTGGAGGTGCCAACCGCCGAGAGCAGCATGGTTCTCGTCTGCACGCCTCACCCAGGAGGTGTGAAGGTTTCATCCTTCCTCTCGGGTTTACGGTCGCCGCCTCAGTCCCGGCCACTGCCTTTGGCGTACCACTTCCCTCTTCGGCACAGCCCCCTTCGCCCTTCCTCCTCCTCCTCCTCCTTTCCTGCCTGATAACATCACCCTGGGGGGAACGTGATGAGCTCCTGGGTGTCAGCCAGCTTCACTTTCCTTCTGGACACCATGACATCATCTCTGGCCTGGAAGTTCCATTGGCCTCCAGTGCCCCCGCCTCTGTCCCAGCCCTCAGAGGTCCTATAAAGAGGGGATCCCAACTCAGCATCAGCACAGAACACAGCAGGGTTCTGGAGCTTCTGGGGTCTGCAGTCTCAGCTCCGAGAAAGCCTCTTCTCCGCCGAGACCATGAAGCTCTGCGTGACTGTCCTCTCACTCCTCGTGCTCGGGGCCGCCTTCTGCTCTCCCGCGCTCTCAGCACCGAGTAAGTGTGGCCTTTCAGCTGCTACTTCCAGAGCCACAACCAGGCTTTCCAGCTGGGGCTGGTCCAACCGTGGCCTCTGGGGATGGGACGAGGGAGAGCTGGGAAGATTTATAAGTAGCCTGACATTACGTGTTGTGTCTACTAGACATTCAGTAATGTTCGAGTTCCTGTTTTCTTAAGAAACAGTAACCAGCAGACTTGTGTAAGAAAGGGCCCGTCTTTCTGTGTGTCTTGGTTTCCTCATCAGTTAAACAGAGTTAGACACGTGCCCTGGGACCCAAGCCAGGTCCACGATCTTCCCTTAGGATCCTGCGTTCAGGAAAAGACTCCTACGCAGCGTGGCTGGGGTTGGATACAAGGGACCGTATTTGGGGGTCTGTTAGCTCCCCAGAGATACTGCTTGAATATCTGTAACTAGAAGCCAGAGGGACAGCTCCCTGCGGGGCCTTGACCTCACCTGGGCCTTTCTTTCCAGTGGGCTCAGACCCCCCCACCGCCTGCTGCTTCTCCTACACCACGCGGCAACTTCCTCGAGACTTTGTGGTGGATTACTACGAGACCAGCAGCCTGTGCTCCCAGCCAGCTGTGGTGTAAGTACCGGCTTCTGGGCCGCTGTGGGAGGCCAGGACGAGGGCCGCAGAGACAAGGGGCCCACTTTGGGCAGGGACAGGACCTAACAGTGGGGTGGCAGTTCTCAGGGCTGACGCCCTCCCGGAAAGCGGTAAAGAACAGAGTCGTGAAGTCACCTGTGGAGTCCTGGAGGGGGCCAGGAAGGAGTAAAGGGACAAGACACTGGGGTTCTGGGAAGGAAATGAGCCAGAGGCTAGGAAACCAGGAACTGTGGGCTGATTGCTTCAACCACACTTAGAAGAGCACGTGGAGAACTTATTGCTAGGAGCGCCAGGGGAGGAATGGGAAGATATAGCCGTGCTGATTGTAAAACTGATCGGTTCCTGATGTGGGCAACCCTGAGGCCACGGCTAAATCCAGGGGGGAAGTTACAAGGAGTCCACTTCCAGTGTGACCCCGGGAAAGGCCCTGCCACCCACCGGAGCTGTCCGACATACGGGCTGTGGTCAAGCAGACAAGGGCCCCTGAGATTCTCATCTCTCTTCTCCTTCCCCCACAGATTCCAGACCAAGAGGGGCAGACAAGTCTGTGCCAACCCCAGTGAGCCCTGGGCCCAGGAGTACATCAACGACCTGGAGCTGAGCTGAGCTGAGCCGCCCCGGGCGCAGGGCCGGGTCTCCAGGGGAGGCTGCCGGAGCCTGGCGCTTCTCAAGCCAGATGCACTTTCTCCTCGTTCACCACCCCTCCCAGTGGTCCCCGTCCCTTCTCGTAATTTAATCTTTATGATGTGCTGTGTTGTCGTGTTTGGCGTTGTTTCCATAATTTATGTTGGTTTTACCGAAGGACACATGTCCCCCTCGGTGACGGTCCATCCGCACTGTTTGTCTGCTCTTGCACCTACGCAGGTAATGCAGGCGCTTCTGTGTTTTCATAATAAAGCTGAAAAAATACAGACAGTTTCTCTGTGTTTTCCTTTGATCTGGTATGAAGGGGACTGCCTGGTTTATGAATAGGGACCAACCAGCATTTCCAGACGCAGTAAGAATGTACCATTTCTGAGGACTCCTGACGGGCTAAATGCTCTAAAGCCAAGACCTCGCTTAGTACTTTCGACAGGATTTTAACACCCTTACGAAGTGGGGACTCTTACCTCCAACGCTGCAGGTGAAGAAACAGTTGCGGGGGTGACGTGACTTGCTCAGCTTGTGGGTCTGCCTGGACAGCCCCTCGAAAGGGTGATCCAGGACAGCGTGAGGCTACGCTTGTCACTTCACGTCTCGTACAGACGTAAATAGCAGCAGCAACACAACACAGAGGGAAGACAAGGCAGTTCAGAGCCAGGAAAGTGGGCCCCCACCCCTTCTTACTGGTGTATCTTTAGGAAAGTCAGCCTGCCTTGCCGGTCCTCGGTTTTCACATCTGTAAAGTGAGGGGAGTACTGTCCCCTGGGAAGGGCTGAAGATTCTCTTTCCCTCTCTGAGCCTTGGCCTTTTCACTGAAAATGGACCTAGTGTCTGTGTCCCTAACACTGTCACATGGACGAAGTTAGTCCGTGGATCAGGTCTCTACGGCCCAAAGCACAGGTGGAGTGTTATCACGAGGACAGAAGAAATGTCGAGTTTGGCCTGGAGCGCAGTGGGAGCGACCCAGAGCCAGGTCCCCCCTCTCCCCCCCGCCCCTGCCCCGTGCCCGCCGTCTGAATGCCCCCTCCCATGCGTCAGAACAGGGCTCTGAGGCGGAATGAGCGCACCACCAGGCGTGGTCTGCAGGACGCAGGACCGGGTCTGTTACTGCCAGGAAGGACCCATCGACCTCCTGGTCCAGCCCTCTCGTGTTATGAGGGCCAAGGGCTGAGAAAGGACTTGCACTACAGGCCGCCTTGCAAGTGTGTGGCGGAGCAGGGCTCCAGCCGGTGCTGAGCCCCAGGTTAGTCCCCTTTCCTGTGCCCCTTGTGACCTGCCTCTGTGGTGCCAAGAAGGACAACCCATTCTTACCTTTTTGTTATTTTATTACTCATGTTATACTTTCTCTTTATTAGATATACAATCTTTCCGATTTCATTTGTGTGATCCGTCTCCCTGTCTCTCTCTTACTATGTGTTTCGTGTTTGGAAACGTCGGACTTTTGTGCTGCTGGTCATTTTATACCAAGCCCCCTCGGTACTACCCTTGCTCCTTCCTTTTTTGGATTATTATCTATGTCCTCCTGTAAGTAACAGTCGTAATAAAATTAGCTGATCTCTTCTTTTTCTTCCTCCCCCGCCCCACCCCAAGACCCTAACCACTTTGTTGTCGATTGTCTTGATCCTGGTGAACACGTTGTACATTCCGTACATGTTCAGTCAGCGTGTTGTGTGTCTGAAACTAATTAATATTGGATGTCGACTGTAATTTTAAAAAACGGGGAAAAAAGATTGTCTTGATTATCTTGATTTTTTTAAAACTTTCCTGTAAGGTTTAGAATCAGTTTGTAACTCTTCATTGAAAATCCTTAAGATTTTAATTGGAATCATATTAAATTTTAGTTTGGGGTAACTGACATCTTCATGATTGTGAATCTTCTGATGCATGGACTTCACATATCACTCTGTGTTTTTTATTTTTTTAATTTAATCTGTACTGTATTTTTTCCATTACCATTTAGTCCCCCAATACCCCCTCCTCCCAGTAATCACCAATCACTGTTTATTAAGCTATTTTTAAAGCGCTTCTTGGTAATAACATGTAGTTTTCTAAGTCTAATTTGTTAGATTTATACTTAGGTAATTGATGGTTTTGATAATACCACAAAGGCATGCTTAAAGTTTATTCTTTAATTGTAAGACTTAAAAGCACTTAACAAGTTTTCTTGTCCTCTGGCTTCTGTGAGGACCGGGGCAGAGCAGGCCGGGACTGCGGGCAGGGAAGGGCTGTGGTCCCGTCTACTCCTCGACTGTTCAAATGGGTAGGTGAGTCTTTCCTTTTTTATTTTAAATTGACTTCTTTTTTTAAAAAAAATTTTATCTATTTATTTTTAGAGAGAGGAGAAGGGAGAGAGAAAGAGAGGGAGTGAAACATCAACATGTGGTTGCCTCTCGTGTACCCCGAATTGGGGACCCAGCCTGTAACTCGGGCCTGGCAGGGAATGGAACCGGTGGCCCTTTGGTTCGCAGGCTGGCACTCAATCCACTGAGCCACACCAGCCAGGGCAAAATTGGCTTTTTAAATAATTTTTCAATACAGTTTACTTTCAGTATTATTTTGTATTGGTTTCAAGTGTGTGGCATAGTGATTAGACAACCGTGCCTTTTACAAGGTGTTTCCCCCGATATTTCCAGAAACCACTTGGCACCATACATAGTCACTGCAGTATTACCGACTGTTTTTCCTGTGCTGTACTTTACATCCCTGTGTTTATTCTGTAACTACCAATTTGTACTTAATCCCTTTACCTCTCTGACGGGGTCCCCACACCCCGTTCCCCTGGTAGGTAAGTCTCGACTCCCTTCCACTCTTCCAGGGACAGTGAGGAGACTGGTGCCCCCTGAACTTTCACAGCTGTGTGTTCGCCCAGGAATGTGGCAGAAATGCACCCATGTGCCCAGGCCCCTCCTGAGGGAAAGGCTGGCCTCCAGGCCTTTACCCCAGCATTTTCAAGTGTGAGACTCCTGAAAAAAATGTTTCCTCTTTTCAGAGAAATATGTACTCATTTTAGAAAAGTCAGAAACTACAGAACAAATTGATGGCAAAAGGTGCCCAGAATCTCATCACCGGAAGATAAACATAATTACATACATGTTTATGTGTGTGTATATATATCTATAAATACAGATACATATGCCTATCTTCAGGGGGTGTGGTACAAAATAATCACTGCATCACACTCCACACACATTTTTAAGCTTTTCTTTTACACTCAGTAATAAATAGCGAAGAGCTTCCCATGACAATGTATGTGCTGCTACAACCCCATTGTTTTTTCCAAAGGCTTCGAAGCATTGTCATTGTGCACATACCACATTTTACTTACTCATTCTTGACCAATGGACATTTAAGTATCTCTAATATTTTGCTATAAAAGGATTCCCTCGGAACTAAGTATTTCCATTCACCCTTGATTATTTCCTCAGGAAATGTTCTGAGAAATGTCACTGCTGGCGCAAAGGTTATGCTTTTTTTTTATCCAAAGATATATTGACAGTTTGCTGAGAATTGCCAATTTCATGGGAATACACTTTATATACAAAAAGTTCGACAAACCTCAAAATGCTGAATATATTTTCATTTTTTAATTATTTGACAATGATATAATTTTATATGAGTTTTTTGCTTTTAAATCACATACTTTTTCTTTTTTCCTTTTTTTTGGTTTATTTTTATTTTAAATCATATATTTTTAAAGCAATTTCAATTGTGTTTATGGAACATTTACTTGTTTTTAGGGAATGCTTCAGTAGTCCTTTGTGATCAGTCGGCACCCCCCAGGAAGGGCGGCGAGTGGAAAGCACGTTTTGGCGGCCTCTCTGTGCTGGGCCTTTTCAAAGACATTATTTCATTTAACCTCATAGCTTCCGTTATGGGACCTCTATCTTACAGATGAGAAAGCTGAGGAGCGAGTCAAATGCTTCCTTTCCTTTTGCTCACGGTGCTCTGATTCCTTTCTACCGTCTTTCTTAAGTCACGTGGATCACACTGTAAATAGTGACAGCAGGAGGCTGTCATACCTAACGCTGTCTCCAGTTTGCACTTAAACATGGGTGTCCTCTCCCTCCCTCCAGGGACAGCGGAGCCCGAGCTCCTGGTGCAGGAGCAAAGCCCCGGTGCGCCCCCTGCTGGCGGTTACTGCCCAGTGCATGACCTACAAGGCAGGCGGAGCTGAGGTGAGGTGGACTTCTCTGCAAAGCTCACACTTTTGCATTCAGTCTCCGTAAGGTCTTTTTGTAAACATTATCACTCCTACTCCAAGGGCTTGGAAACTGGGTTTCAAAGAGCTTATTTGCTTATCACACATCAGGCAGCTATTAAATGACTAGTCTCTTGACCTCCAAGGAACGCTTTCTAGTGCACCATTACTTCTAATTACTTCACCTCCCACACTGCTGTGTGGTTTCCTGCAAACCACGCAAACTATAATAATAGTAGTAGTAGTAGTAATAGTAGTAGTAATAATAATAATAATAATAATAATACCACCCCGCAGCATCTTTGTATAGAGTGGCTACAAGTGTGTGCCATGCTGTAACAGCTACTGGCTATACTCGGACTTGTTCACGGCCACCCTTCCCATTTGGGACCACTTCTTCCTGCCTCGACCCACCTTTTCCTGTTCTCTGAGAGGTCCCATGGGGCGAGTAAGCTCTGCCCTGGAGGGGTCTCCCTGATCCTGGCTGGCTGGCTGGCGGACGGCTTCCTCCCGAACCTTCCTCCCTGGCCCTCATCAGGACTCAGCCTGTCCCCAGGGGCTGAGACAGGAGTCCTTGGGAGCTTCCGGTGGGGACAGCAATTCCTAGGGCTGTCATTGTTGTCCTGGTTCCTGGGTGGGCACGGCTGCTACTTCCACGGAGATCTGACAGCAGAGTGAGGTTTGAAGTCGCCCAGAACCGACCGGAACCCAGCCCAGGGCCTGGCGCTTGGCAAGTGCTCAGTAACTGGTAGCCGAGAAACAGGTGGGGGGTGGGTGCTGGATACGAGGCTTCCCTGGCGTTGCCTGGTTAGTAGGGAGCATTGGTTTCGCATGGCAGTGAAGACCCCAAGGCCTAGCATCAGGCAGACACCGCTGTGGCTTTAGGCTTCGCCACTTCTTGGCAGCAGATGGCGTGGTTACCTTGCGTATTCTCTCCGTATGGCCGGGACTCCTTATTACAGCCCAGGGTCCTGCCTGTTTTTAAAACTTTTAGATGCGTATTTCCTACTGGCTCAGAACGGCCCTTCTCAAGTGTCAAGAACTTTAAGATACTGATAAGACAGCTGAA